CTGTACTGGGCACCTGCCAGGGGCTAAATATCCTGGCTGCTTAGATAATTACATATTTATGATTTTGCCGAGAATTCTTAGTCAAAGCTTATTTTTGAACTGTAAAATGCTTAGAGAAACAGCAGAGAAAGTTCTCTGACAAATGCTACTTCAAAACGGAGCCAACATTTAAATTTTTTAAAGGACGTTCATTTCCGTTTCAGTTGATTCATTCAGTGGTGAACTTTAATGGCAGAAAAAGGAGAAAAGGGGTGTTTTCCCTCTCAGTCAGAAAAGGATCTTGATAGCGTGTTTAACTTGCTCTCTGTAAAGAAATACAAAATTCAAAAACCTTTCCAAAAATGATTCAGAATAGTGTACTTAAATTTTTTACTGCTTATCACAGTTTGCACCCTACCACACGATGGAACTTTTCTTTTGTATCACATTATTAGTAAGATTTCCTCTTCCACACATAAACCACTAGATTAGCTAATTCATGCTGATCCAATAAACAGAACTGATGTATGAACATTTTGAAATATAATTGTTCAGCCACAACAAATTATCACACAAAATCCACTTCACCTTCCTTCATTGATAATAGCATCCACTGATTTCAGAAGGACCAAAACGGTCCAAAACTTCATGTTGTCAGTTATTTCAGAATCTGCTAGAAACACTTTTTTTTTTTTCTTTTAAGGCTGCACTTCATAAACTGTACAACCAACAGCCTCAATAATAAATTTCATGAGCACTTTTAGGCCCTACTGTTCAAAGTGCTTTCAAGCCTGGTTAGCTTTATGCATGCAAGGGCTCCTTATTTATATCTCAAAAGAACTACTCCTACACTAGAAGTTACATGTATGCACATGCATTTGTATTTTACAGAATAAGGGCCTTAGTCTTGCAGGGTTATTTATTTTGAATCAATTATTCCAGGCTCTTGAGGGCAACATCTTTAGTACTGTCAAGTTTCATGAACTCTGGAAAGCAGGGGTCCCTGTTCTCAGTATGACAAGTGACCTTCAGCTCCACCACCTTACAAAGAGCTGCTCGTCTGCAGATGCTCATTTTATACACCTGCAGTTGAGAGATGCCATTCAGCTCCTCTTGAAACAAAGCCAGTTTTGCAATTCCAGTGCAAAAACCTTGGAGCTAGCAGCACAGATCTCCAGCTGTCCTTGGCAGGTGCCAGCAGAGACAAGGCTTCCACACCAAACCCAACTCTCCAGCTCATACCCCCTCCCTTGGCTGTCTTCCTTTGCATGGAAACATTTTAACATACTAGCCTGGCAGATCAGTATTTGGGTGGGTTTGGCTGCTGGGGAAGCACAGGCTAATAGTTACATCTATTTATTCATTCACCTGGCTTTGAAGGAGCAGTAAGGTCACAGGACTACCTGAAGGCACCGCAGAGGCATTCAAATTAAAAATTTGCTGCAGTCTTGGGGAAATTTCTCCAGACACCTTCCAGTCTCTTCACTTTGGAGTGACTTATTCCTTCTCCCCAGCTCCTCCAAGCCCTCCTGCTGTTTCTGAGCTAAATCCCCTGCCTGGGTAATTACACTGAAATATTGCACCCATGGAATTTCCTGGCCCAAGAGACTCAGTGCCTGCAGAGCTGCTCTATAACATCCTTTATATGTAGGAACAGTTGACATAACACACAATAGGTGTGTTACACCCTTGAAACACAGTATAATGTGTTCACCGAGAAGCAGGCAACACTGAAAAGAATGGATTTAAATCACCTACTTGGTATTCCCCCCAAGACTGTGAGGACCTGTCTGGGCTGTTGATGACACCTCTTGCCTGGGGACTAGGTAATTTTGTGTTCACTGCCTATTCTCAGACTTTGCCTGTGCCAGTCTGTAATAAACAATAACATCCTCTTTCTCTTCTGCATGAGACCCTTTTAACCAACCAGGGTGCCCATCTTTGTCAAACCATCCATGTAAATAAAGGCTCAGAACCCAGACAAAGTGTTTCCCAGGCTGCCTGTAAGAAAGCCACCACACTGCCCTCCTTGACTCCTTCACAGCCCCTTCTGGTCACCTCTGCAGAATTAAACCCATCCCAGCAAGCTGTCATAGGACAGCACTAACTGGTAGCTCCCACCTTTCTGTAAGTTCCTGGGTTCTGCCCAGTCCACTCTATATTTCTAAATTTAGATCTACATCTATATGTGTGTATAAATAACATGCACAGATAAGCACACTCCTGTATTCCCACATGTATTTATGTGCACACACACAAACCTGCTTCAATGACTTGCAAAGGCAGAAAGGCAAACTGGTTTGCTTCCAAAACTCACAAAAAAAGCCCTGCAAGATACAATGGAAAATCTCTCTTGGATAAGCTACCTGTTCCATCACATAGTAAGAAAATTTATTTGCTAAAGCCCTTGTTGAAATCCTGATGGCATCTTTTACTTAGACCAAAGATCTAAGACTTTAAATTTTTATTTCCAACACATTCATTAATTCTTGTGACCACAGATTAAGTACCCAGTTATCAGCCTCTAAATGAACCTTCAAAATCCTAGAAAAGTAGCATTAAACACTTAGTTTCCTGCAATTACCAGGCCTTTTTCATTAAGCCTTTGCATCTTTCCTTTGACATTGGGAGGAACATTAAATTTGGCTGGAAGAATAGGAGGGAGAACTTACACCCACTGAACACAGCCATGCTATATCACAATATAAATATTTAATTTTCTAAAGAATTGCCAACAACTACAATATTTTTTAAGGAGTAACTAGTATTTTACCCTATTTGGTTTGTCAGTTTATATATATATAGCATATGTATGTATAGCATAACATAATATGATGCAAAAAAATAATCTGCTTTTAATTACCTTGAAAATTGAAAATCTAAGAAAACAATAGAAGAGAATGCAGTATGTGTAAATTGTTATTTTGTTTTTTCTTACTACTAAGAACTGGAACTGACAATCAGGCTTAAAACATGACCAAAAATGCTACAATCATTTCTCAAGGGAATCAGAAATTAATTTCTTATTCAAATATATGTGTTGAACATGGGCAACCACGGTTAAAGCACATCCTGTTTGGGAGATGCACACAACCTGCTTTCTTCAGTGATCTCTGGCCCACACTTTGTTTACACACAGCAAAGAGGAAAACATAAAAAACTATATAAATCTTTTTTACTGAACAGGTTTAGTTACAATTACTTTGGGGATGGTAAAAAATGTGTCTAGCTTGTCTCTTAAATCTACATTCAAACTATTTCAAAGTTAATCAGAGGTGAGTAATGGTTCAGAAATCTCTTGAATAATAAAGCAGAACAACTTAGAGCACAAAAACAGCCCTCAAAGAAAAGAGTGGGGAGTACTTCACTTCACTGCAAGTAACAGTTGAGTATATTTTATGATCACTGTAACAACTACCATGCCCTTGAGACTGTGCAATTCTGAATTGCTAATATAATTTGTAGGGGGAAAATTAGGACAAAATGCAGTAACATTTCAAGTACAGTCTCACAGTATTTTAAAATTTTATGAAGTATAAGGACTAGGTTAATATGAAATGAGTCATGTTTTTAAGAGAGGCAGTAATACAGATCAGTATCTTAAATCATAACTAAAATAACACTCAACCACTACAAAATAAAAAGAAAACAGAGTAGCTTTTTGCTGGAAAAAGGTCAACAACAACAATGAAGATTTAACAATACTAGAAAAGGCTGAGAGCACTGTTGATTTCAGGACTGAGACATTAAAACACCAGTCTGAATGACCAGGTCATTCTTTCTCAATCAGTTCATCCCAAATAAATAAAAACTCTACTCATATCAACCCTGAGCCTGAAAACCAGACAATTAAACAGCATACATGCTTGGTGCAGATCTTCTGGTTACAGAGGTATATTTGCTTTACTTTGTGACAAATACATTACATTCCACTCCATGATGTCTTTGGGAGTTACCAGAATTGCTTCCTACCTCAAAAAGTAAAGGAGTTACATCCAAGCAAACTCTTTGAGCATCATTTTCCTCACAGGGCAAAGACAGTGGAGTTGCAAAGCTGTAAGTGAGGCTGCAATTGATTTACATATTCTTTAGATCCATTTCCACATGCAAACCAAAGGAAACCAGCTCAGCTCTCAGATCCAAAATTGAATTTTCAAAGCAAGCGGTTCAAAATCTTCCCCCTTTAACTTCTGTACTGAGCTCAAAGATCTAGAGATGCTTCAAATACAGAACTCACACTGGCACTTTATACATTTAATTCTTAAGGCTAATGCTGAAGGTGCCACTCTTGTACACCTCAACTGTGACAACACAAGATACCAAAACTGCTAAATAGAGGTTGACTGATCAAAGCTGAAACAGCAAGTTCCAGTCCTTCCCTTCAGGCCTCAGCTCTGCTTTCCATCTGCACAGCTATCAGGAAGCAGCAGCAAACCAAAAGGACAGCCTGAAAAGATGAATTTGCTATAGTCTGTTACAACTAACATTCCAGTGATGGAATAAGAAGATTGCCCCTTTCTACAGAAGCTAAGATTTTAACTTCTCTGGTCTTACACTGACACATGGGCTGAAGTAAAATACACCTGACAATGCAGAGCTGGTTTTGTTTAGTTTTTTTTTTTTTTTCTGGGAAAAGCTATTAGTATTGAAACAAACTGCAGAGAGGACCCAAGTGGGGGCAACAGAACACTCGGCTTGGCTACAGCTCACCCCAAACAGGCTCTTGGCCAAAAGAGGAAGCAACACCAGTTACCAACAGGATGAGCTAGGCTACTGTCAAGTCACACTTCTCACTTCAAAATTAACACGCTGCCCTACTTTCCACAGGATAAAACCAGGTGCAATTGTAATATTTTTGTCAAACAGCATAATGGTCTAGATGCTCCTTAAAAAAATGAAAATAATCCACTTGAATACTAAAAACTAGTTATTCTAAAAATACTGTTTGCAGTGTAAGCCTGCTAATGGCATGTGTGCAGAGAGGAACCACACCACCTGTAGCCAGTTAAAAAGGTACTTACCATTGGCAGTGCATTGATATGCAGAAGTTTTCCTTTCGGGTGCCTCTTGCCACAGAAGGGTGACGCTGACAGGGAAATAAGGAGACAAAATAAGCAATGTTAGTAGGCATTATTTTGCAAACTGTGCTGTTAACACACAGTCAAACGTTATCATTTAACCTTCCAGGCTCTCCCAGTTCCTGGAGCTGAGCATCCCCACCGTATGTGCTCAGACCTGGAACAGAGCTGGGACACAGCACGGAGCTGGAGCTTTGCACAGCTCCTGCCCTCCCCACATCCCAGAGCTGGCTCCTGCAGAGAGCCTGGCACACAGAGCCTGGAGCAAACACTGAATGAACACCGGCACCACCAGGCTCTGGACAGCCACACCACTCAGGAGCACACATGCACCACAACCTGGGTAGAAGTATCCCAATGCCTGCATTTTGCTTCAGCTCCCCACAAAAAGCTTCAGGAAGACAACTAGGCAACTTACAGCATCATCTGCCTATGCCAAATTTCTCCTAGAAATAAACCACAGCTACCAACATTTAACACTTTGAAAAGCCCCAAACAAAAGTCAACGTTGCAGTGGTATGACTTCCAAAACGGTTACATCCACTATGAAGCAGAAAAAGAATAAGAAATCTGTTTTCCTAACACATCTTGCACTAAATAACTCAATTTATATACACAGGTGTGCCCATGAGCCCAAAGAACTACCAACTCCAGCAGTGACCTCAGTAATTAAAAAATAAAAAAAATCACCAGCTCATACTAATTGCAAGCAACACTTGACAACATGAAAATAACAGAAATCTCCCTAGTGCAAAATTCAAGAGAAATCTTGCCCACCTTTAAAACCCAAATAAAAACATAATCCAAACAAATCCACACTCTTAGATGTTAGTAATTTTCTTTACACATCAATAATAATTTTATGCACCCAAAAATAAAATAACTAAGTATAAGCACACAGCTTTTGACATCCAAATATGAGGTAAGTCCATCCACTACAACATTCATTTTTATTCAGCAGTGACAAACGATTTTCATCCACACTAATACTCCTGAGTAGTTGCCCTCCATACAAATACCTGCCAGACGACTTTTCTTTAGGACATAATCTAATTGCCCACTCAAAGAGCAGGAAGGGTGACAGATGGACATGAGTGACTAATGAAGTATTACCAGACTATTTTTAGATTAAATTCTTTACCAAGCATCTGCAACTGTGGTCAAAAAACTTTTACTATGAGTAAAGAGTAACTATGGTTTGTGGGACTCATGATCAACACGAGGTTCTCACGTGCAATTTTCAAGCTCAACCAGCAGGAAATCATTCATTATAGAGCCATTTTTGAACTCAACAAAAAAAAAAAAAAAAAAAAAAAAAAAAAAAAAAAAAAAAAGAAGAGAAAAGAAAAGCTGCAGCATTTGGGCTTATTTTATTCTTGGAAGATGCCACAAGGCAGGCAGAAACATCACCTTCACAGTGTAAGCAAGAGGCACTGCAGAGGATGCTGAGGAATGCAGGAATGCTGGGAATTGAAAGAATTTGCAAACATGCTCTTATTTCCTTGCTTAGTTGTACTAGTGCTGCAGAAAATATGTAAATAGGCTGAGTGAAACTCCACTCCTCAAGAGGTACAGTATCCTATGCAAGCTTTTTTCCATAGCTGGGGCTGCTGACCAGCTGAGAAGAGAAAGCTTTAACACCCACTCTGCAGACCCCATCAAAACACAATTTGCTTATAACAGGAGTTTTCCTTAAAAACAGAACAAAACAGCAACCAACCAACACTCTTTTGAGAACAATCTAAATCATGAGAAAAACTGTGTGCAGAGAAATGCAGAGAAGGGCTGCTACCCCCTCCCAGTGTGATGCTCAGTTTGGGTTATTCCATTTGGGAAGGAACATTGCAAACATAAATAAAGGGATGACTGCACAAACATAAACCATTTTCTTCCAGGAAAAAGGGCTTTCTTCAGTACACTGCCCAAACTGTCTCCTTCCAACACCTCTTTGCCCTTGTGCAATCTCGAGTGCAGTACTCAGCATCGAGGCCAGAGAGGGAAACCTTTCCTCCTGATCCGTGGAAGAGGATTCTTGTCCTTTGCTTTACATCTAAACAGGGCAGTGACACGGAAAGAAGCTGGAAGCAAAGACTCAAGAGAGCAGAGAATGAGAAAAGAAAGGGTTCACTGACTTCATTCCTCACCAATGTTAATTGGTTGTAGGCTCCAGTTTTAAATAAGGGCGCTTGAAGAGACATGTAAACATTTAGAAAACTCTGCAATGTCCTTCTCCAGAATCAATTGCTGAGGACAAACGCCTCATCAGCAGCTTTTTTTTTCTTTCCAAATTTATCTTATTGGATTTTGGCACGTACCTTGAAACAATGCAGGTGACAGTTACAATTTATTGATTTCGGACTATCTCTCACCTTTATATTCCAACACGTTACAGTGATTTAAACAGGTGCCCAGATGTAGTAACAGCTATACTATGTGACACTTAAAAATAATCCACTAGATGCCCTTTAAGTTTATAAGGCACACCTGGGGAATGCACAGCAGCTTGTGAGTTTGGATTCTTCAACTTGGGGAGGCTGGGAACGGCTCACCACTGCCTGATGACCAATGTATTCAACATCAATTGAAAACTGCTCCCCTCAACTTGAGAGCAAAGATGATTTTGCCATGTGTGCACTGACACACATGTGCTCAGAGCTAGTGCTTGCTGCCTTGCCCACACCCATTTTTTCTGCACAAAATGACACACCTGATGCTCACGTGCCCCTGAGATTCGGGGCCAAACACTCAGTACGACACCCAACATCATATCCTTGTGAAGAGCATCCTACCCTGCTGTGGTGTACAGAAACCAACCCTTAAACCCAGCCTAGACCACACTCCAGGCCTTAAACCCAGCTTGCATGAGCCAGGCAGTTCCCATCTGCAGGGCCAGAGCTAATAAGCCAAACCACCTTCACCAAAGCAGCAAACACCCACTCAGGCTGCTTGCACAGACTGGGCTGCTGCTATCAATCAAGTAATAATTGTGTGGTACAAAGGAAGCCACAGATAAAAACAACCCTGGCACCAACACAGTGACAGAACTGGTTATCAACACACACACCAGATGTACGCTGATGTTAGTCTTTACCTGCTTCCAAACACAATCAGTTCAAAGCAAGGATTTCTCTAAATGCTACTTGCAGAAATGTTTAACCATTTCCTTACAGAAATGCTGCTATTAGTGCTACTTTCTCCTTCCCAGACATCGCACTGGGTTTGTGTTATGGCTAAACAGGTATTTTTTGTGTGAGCTCTGAATTGTTCCTGTTCCCCATGTGAACTTGTGCACTTGTGCTTTTTTCCTAATCCTCTTAGGATCACACTGTTTATACTACTTTCTGAGATTTTGGTGCTATTTGAGCTCTAACAACAAATTTAGTCATTAGATGTTGTGCTTTCTGAATCACAAAAGCCTTCTAAGGACACGGTATCTTTTCTTCTAAATTATCCTTGAGTATACTGCTTTTATCTGGATTCAGTATCTGGAAAAGTGTCCCAATCAAGAAAGAATTAAAAATAACTAAATCCTGTATATTCCCCTCAGTAACTAGGCTGCAAAAAGCATGAGACAATAATTTTAAAAGCCTAAATTGAAAACTAATCACTCTATTGAATCCTTCCTTTCATTTGGTTAATAGGCACATACAAAGCTAATGGTGATTCTACCACTGCTGTGCTTGGAACATAAACAGAGAAAACCAAAGTGATTTCTTTTAATCACAGTTCTACAGAGATGTATGGCAATTTTTTTTTAAGCAATTCAGCACGTCTACAACAACATCTGCTTTTCAAATCTGACAGAGAGGCTAAACTGAGACAGATACCAACTCAGAAAACTCAGGAGAAACAAATACCTGCAAGTGTGTGTGTGGGGTGGAAATCAGCATCACACACAATACATTGTTCAAAACTGTCAATACCTGAAACTGGTAGGTAGCAATAGGGTTCCTAGAGACAAAATAACATGCACAGACTGCTCCAGTACTTCACTCTGAAAGCACGGCGTGGGCGAGCATGTTTTACAAGAAGCCTCATCAGGAAGCACTGAAAGTATCTAAGATCTGCCCAGAAACATATCCACACAAATTCCTCAACTCTACCTGAAACAGCTCTTCTCCATCAATTGAGATGTTATTTCCTAATCTTTGTTCTTTTATCTTTATTCCATCAGAAATATATCATAAAAATAATGATGCAAGTTGACCTTCCAGATGTTTCAAAGAAGAAATGCTTAACTTGTACATTAATATCACATTAAAGCTGCACAACTTTCCACACTTCAGGAATACTCTTCTATAAAACAAGCACCTGTATGTCTATGGAAGTATGGGAATCAACTCCTAAAACAAAGGGTATCTGAGGGGATAAAGAATATGAATTGGGCAAGCAGACAGCACTATTCTGGAGAAAAGTTCATCCAGACACAGAAACAGGATTCACTGTGCAATGAGAAACACAGGGCAAGCCAAACCAGAGCAAAAGAATACTGCAGAAGTTTAAACACCAATTGCTCTAACAGTCAAAAATTGAGGCAATCACAGAAAATAGCTCATAGCCCACTGAAAGAGAAGAAAGCTGAATTGCTGGAGAAGAAACCAAGTCAGCCAGCTCCATTAAAACCCATAATGGACCCCAGTAATTGTCAATGCCAATCAGCTGGTACCGAGCACCATTTCACTTGCAAGGCATTTAAATGGAATTCATTAGCAAGTAATCCAATTCACGTAAACTGGAAGTTACAAGGTCCTAGAGAACGAAGTTAAATCCAGTCTAGACTGGGAAATAGTATAAAGATTTATTACTGAAAGCACTCTTATGCCAAAGGACCTTAAAGCACCCACAAAAGCCCACCTTCACAGACTGCTACCTGCAGGATGGGGGCCCACCTGTGAAAATTCAAGGTAGTTTCCAATTTTTGGAGTTTTTCTTCCAAAAATAGTGGACATGATGACTACTGACATATTGATCTAAACAGTGGCATATTGACAAATAATTTTTCTGTGTT